TAGCCTGCTCCAACATAAGCAAGGTGGTCATAAGATGGAAAATTTTGCATTTTTCATATGATTATAATTATCATTGTCATTAACATAGTAAAAAGTTCTGGTATATCTGTGAAGAGTGAAACCATAGTTCTATTTAGAAAATAATTATAATGTTGTCTGAGTGTAAGGATGCAAACGATTTTGCCAAGTGAATATCACATCCACAGGACTGGTACTTCTGTGCCCTTTCCTTCTTATGATTAAGATTGTGATTATGACTGTGTGAACCAGCCTTTAAGGGGGGTGGGGTGGGGGAGGGGTTATATTGCCTTTGGGTTACCAGTATATAATATTATAATAATTACAAAACTATAACATATTTACTTTATTTCAGAATATTACTTAATTTACAGTTAATCAAATCTCCCAATGGAAATTGCAATTTACTGTACTTTTAAAATATTAAATTTAATTATTTAAATATTAAGTACTGTAATATGTGAAAATTTCAGCCAGGATTCTTAATGGAATTTAGATTCCCTCTGACGTAGCTTAGATGTAAGTCTAGACTGGGTCTGAGGTATGGATGATATTACAAATCAATGTGATGCAATGTGGTCAGTATCTATAGCATAATCATAATTTACATAATTTATATTTTACATACGTGTCCATGATTGACATGTTTGGTGGATGTCCATCATAGTAGGCCAGTCTGTATCAAGCAGGTGTCCAAAACAAGTTGGTGAAAATATCATGTACTAGATGATCACTTGCTGGCAGATAAGTGGCCATGCGATGCAATTCTTCGTTTTCATTGTACGTCGTCACAGCGGCCATGTTGGAGGAACTTCAACAAAGGATTTCTCATTAGTATCTATTGTTCATTCCTCCAACATGGCTGCTGGTCTTTTATCTGTTGAATCTCATGGGAATGGTTGAACACGATCAATAGGTGGGTGTCCATAAGAGATGGCTTTGTTAGGTAGGTTTCCAAACCAGCCTGCATTTAGGCATCCACAACAGATCGCATGATGTCAATATTGATTTGTATATAT